CACGCGACACAAAAGCCTCTTGTTCTGGACCTCCGGCGCCGCCGATCATTCCTCTGATAAAGTCTTCTCTTTTCCTGTCAATCTTTTCGAAGTGTAAAACGGGCTGGTGAGTAATTCTGAATTCGATTTCTGTTTCTCCACCATCTAATGATTGTTCGACTTTCCTGTTATGCTTTTATTTTTTATATGTTAATTTTGATTTGCTGATTTGCTGTTGTTTCTTTCTGATTTGTTCCTCCGTTCATGCACGCCTGTGTAGATTTTCGATGTTTGAGATCTGAGACTTGCGACCTATGGCTCATCCGGAATCTGCGGGAAAACGATTCAATTTCTCTCGGGGTGCTGCGATGGTGTTTGTTTCTGATCTATTTATGACGCAAGTTAGGGTTTATGCAATACGTAGATTCCGTTAATCGCCATTAATTAATTTCTGTATCTGCTATTTTGGGGTTTTCTTTTCCACCTTAAAAATCTTAAAAAGGAACTACAGAATTCCGATATGGGGGCGATTGGGTGGGGTAATGAAGACAGGGTCATGGCGGCGGCCGTTCTCGGCACAAAAGCCTTTGATTACCTGATGTCGAGCTCGATTTCCGCCGAGTGCTCCCTCATGGCCATGGGCAATGACGAGAATCTCCAGAACAAGCTCTCGGAGCTTGTGGAGCAACCGAACCCCGCCAAATTTAGCTGGAACTACGCCATCTTTTGGCAGCTCTCGAGGTCCAAATCCGGCCACGTCGTCCTTGGCTGGGGAGACGGCTGTTGCCGTGAGCCCAAGGAGGACGAGGAGCCCGGACACACCCGGGCCCTGAAATCCCGGCCCGAAGACGAGTCTCAGCAGAGGATGAGGAAGAAGGTCCTGCAGAAACTCCACACACTGTTTGGCGGCTCGGACGAGGACTGCTATGCCTTCGGCCTCGATCGAGTCACGGACACCGAGATTTTCTTCCTTGCATCCATGTACTTCTCCTTCCCTAGTGGGGAGGGCGGGCCCGGAAGGTGCTTTGCCTCCGGCCGCCATGTCTGGCTCTCGAACGCTCTGAGATCGCCGGCGGCCGATTACTGTGTCAGGTCTTTCCTCGCCAGATCAGCGGGCATTCAGACAATTGTCTTGATCCCGACTGACGTTGGTGTGGTCGAGTTGGGTTCGGTTAGACATGTCGCTGAGAGCGTGGAGCTTGTGAAAGAGATTGGGTCAACATTTTCGTCTTCTTCGTCCCTCCTAAAGGCGAAAAAGGCAGTTTCTGCCATAAATGACAAGAGCGGTGTGAAAACCGAGCTGCTGCATAGGCAGATTCCCAATCTCGACATTGCCCCCAAGATTTTCGGGCAGGATCTAAATTTGGGCGGCGGCTTGGGGCATTTTCGGGAGAAGGGCGTCCCATTCGTAAACGCCCGTAATGGTTTCCCCTGGGCCCCACAGCCGAATCCAATTCCAGAGAGGGAGAAGAATTTCATGAATATCGGCGGCTTCCAAATCCACCAGAAGCCGCGGGCCCACCAAATGCAACATAAGCAGATAAGCTTCGGAACAAACGCGTCGTCGAGGCCTCGCGGCGTGGACTCAGAGCACTCGGACGTGGAAGCCCCGAGCAGGGACGATCCGGGCGGGCTCTCCGAGGACAAGCGGCCCAGGAAGCGCGGCCGGAAGCCCGCCAACGGGCGGGATGAACCCCTCAACCATGTCGAGGCCGAGAGGCAGCGGCGTGAGAAGCTCAACCAGAGGTTCTATGCCCTCCGAGCAGTGGTACCTAACATATCCAAAATGGACAAGGCCTCCCTGCTGGGGGACGCCATAGCCTACATAACCGAGCTCCAGAAGAAACTGAAGGACATGGAGGCTGATAGGGATGTGAATGTAGAGGGATCAAGGCCCGAGAGCTCGTGGATTGATGTTGAGGGGGGCTGTGATGAGGTGACTGTGAGGGTCAGTTGCCCGTTAAGTAGTCATCCAGCCTCGAGGGTTATACAGGCAATATATGATGCGGAAGGTAGAATCGTCGATGCAAGAATGGCGGTAGGGAGTGAGAAAGTGTTCCACACTTTTGTGGTGAGGTCATTGGGGTCCGAGAGGTTGAATAAGGAGAAGTTGGCTCAGTCGTTATCGGTTAGGTGCGACTCGTCCTAGCCTAGTACAAAAATGTGTGTTTTTGTGGTGGTTTTTGGTATACAGAAGTAGGGAAAGGAAAGAAGGCTTTAATGTTCTGACTTCTGACCCAACTAGATTAGTGTGAAGTTTGTAGTATACAAATGTTTTGTGCTGTAACTTGTAAGGACGTGTTTTTTTCGCGAGATTAATTAATTCTATTTAATTTTAAGACTTGGGATTTTTGGTTTTTTTCACCGATAGTTTNGTAATTTTCTGTGTTTTTGTTTTCTTCTTTTCATTGGTGTGTAGATGACTTCTATATTAAAGGTTGTTGTTATCTTGGCGATGAGTATTTTTCCATTTTATTATATTTTAATGATGATGTTGTGCCAGTATATCACAATTTTTGTGTAACATTTAGCTCTGATGTGGTACTTGAATGCTTGGTTAAATCATTAAAATCCATATTTAGATCTGATTGTTTTTTGGATTTCAAGTGACTGTATATGACATTTTCAAGGTCTAGAAAAAGCAATTATTGTTTCGATTTTGTACACGAACTTAATATGCCTTGGTATTCATTTTCAGAACGGGGAAACTCGAAATGGTTACACGTCCATATAAGGAACTTATATGATCCTTGGCTAGTAAACGCGTTTCATGCTTCACATTTGGTAGACTTTACCAAATAGGGATGAGAAAGGATTGATGCTGAGACTTATTTCTATGGGAAAATGAGCGTTTTAGTCAGTGGAAGGTATTTCTTACTGAAAAGCGACTGTTTAGTGTTGTTATGGAAGTCGTGTTTTTTTTTTTTACAGAAATAGGAATAAACAAGAAAACAAAGGGTAGATAAGTGATGACTAGATAGATGTTTGATGTGTATTGTGCAGGTATACGAATATATACGATAGCGTATGATATGAAATAACAAGGAAATAGAATAATACACGATTTTGCCGATCTGCTGGAAGGTCGACGAGAAGAAATGTTCTACGGAGGAATGACTAGCAAAAGTTTGTCCTTACAATGATACCTGCAGATAGGGATGGCAAAACGACCGGGACCCGGCCCTAACTGGCCCGACCTGGAGAGGAGGAAGTGTGGTACCATGCAGGGGTTCATCTTTTCAGGATTGGATGTATTTTTGAAAGCCTGCAACTCATGACCAGTTTAGATGGCGAGACGTGACTCTCTGGGAGGTGGTGGCACCATTTTTAGCACCTACTTCAACCTGTCATAGTGTGTTAATGAAGGGACATGTAATAATCTCGTTAAGTGCAAGTCACCCTTACTATTTTTGAAGGGAATTACGTAAACAGTATTTTTTTTTGTGAGATTTTGAAAATGAGAAACTCGTTTGATAGGGAACGTTGGTTTCGGTGGAGTAATGTTGAGTTTTCTATTGAGTGAATGTAGTTGCTTTGTGGTTGTTTTTAATAATTATATTTTTTATGTATTTTTTTGTATGTTAATTGGATTGGTATCTAATTTTCTTTTTTTACAGTTGTTCATCAAATGGTTTTATATTGATTATTGCATGTTGATTTGTCTAATTAAAGACATCCATTTAGTATGAAAATGTTTGTGTTGTTCAATAGTTTGTAATAAATATTATTAATTTTGTAAAAACTAATGTGGGAGGATGTATTTTAAAATTTAGCACTTATAATTTAGCAGTTATTAATTTCACGTATTTAAAAAAACTAATCTGTAATTTACTAAATGATTTCTGGAATTTGTATAAACTTTTTTTTATAAAAGGAAATTACGTAATTTTCCCCTAAAATTCCGCCCAAGTAACCCCATATCTCTTATTTACGGCCCAAACAAAATACACTCCAAGCAGCCCTTATCTTGGTCCAAGCAAAACACTCGGTCCATCCATCCAAAACACTCGGCCCTTGTAAAGCCCAAAATTGGACCAGCCCCATCTCCCTCATCTTTAGCAGCAGCACCCCACAGCCCTAATTCTCTTCTCCCAAAATATTCCAATTCTCCTCAGCGTGCAAGCTCTGCCAGCAATCAAGGGCTCCACATTCCAGGCGTTTACGAGTTGCATCAGCCCGACGGCGAGAAGGCCAGCGCACGCCGGCGAGTCGATCCCCACCAGCGACGAGGGCGAGCCATTCACAGCGCCGGAGAGCCACCAGATTTTCGTCAAGCAGGGACCAAGGAGACGAGCGCCAGGCAATCCGCTACCGAAAACCACCCGCCTCCGGCGACCAGGCGTGGCTGAAGCAGACTCCTAGGGAAATCAGGCCACCGGAATCCCAGCGGCCAGGCGCGGCTGGCAAGCACACACGACTGGGAGAGGGCGGTCCGCGGCTGAAGCAAAACTCCCCGCCAACCGTGAACACCAAACCTCCGGCGAGAGCACCTGACCGAGAGCGACCCTGCCCGGCGACCGAGGAGTTCCTGAGCGCCTAGTAACGAGCACGCACGTCGGCTGACGAACAGACCCTTTTGGTCGCGGCTGAAGCACCAGGCTCCGGCGAGTTCCATGCGACTCACGTCCGAGAGCAAGCAGCCGGCAGCTGAAGAGTACTCGGGCTGAGAGTCTCCAGATTTTCGGTGATCCGAGCACCACCCGAGAGTGAGTTTGTCGTGGCCGAGACTAGCACAACCAGAGGCTTAGAGCAACAGTATAGCCGGGTCGTTTTCGAGAGAGGTATCTTTGGGCTGAGCCTTTTTACCTTTTATGGCCGAATTATTGAGTTTAAAAATTCAGTTAAAGAAGAAAGCTTGCTAAGAGTTATTAACGTTTAGGAAGAATTAAGAAGCCAAGTTGTAGCATTTATCCTGTGTTGCTGAGGCTCTGCCGAGCCTCAGTTAGGGGCTGATGCTTTGCTGCAATTTGATTGTTTTAATTTGATTGTGTTGCTTAAGGTTATTTAAGAAAGAAAAGAAAGATCACAACAAATCCAGTTTTTCATGAACAAACAAATATTTAGAGATTGATTGTCATTTTGTAAGCGACAAGTTCAAATGAGGTTCTGTGTTACCCATGTTTCACCTCACGGTTGCAGCTTGCAGATGTTTTCACCAAGGTTCTTAGGGGCACAATTTATAACTTTGTTGTTTAAGTTGGGCATGCGATCTAACATCCTCGGCCCAACTTGAGGGGTTGTTGGAATTGTTGTTCTCTTTATTTCCATTTTTTTTTCCTTATTTGTTTTCTTTTAGTTTAAGTTGCATAGGGTCTTTACGTTGTCCTTATTGCAGCCTTTACTTTTTTCTTATTTCTACTAATGGGAAACGACGACATTTTGGCACTGAATGAGTATGACTTAGTCTGCTGTACGTATACTACAAATACATATTTGTGATTTTGACGAATGAAATGAAAATGGGATTCCCTTGAAAGATTATCTCTCAAATTCAACATAACCAATTGTTCATATATAAAACAAGTCGATTTGGGTCGATTCATTTATTATATAAACATGAGCTCCAACGTGAGTTACTTGGCTCAAATAACAACGAAGCCCAAGGCGCAACCTTTAGTTGCTGTCCCAAAGACTAGATAATCTGTCAACAGAAACGACCGAATTCGAAGTGTGTAGAGGCGAAAAGGTTTAAAAATCTTTAGCTACTGACAAAAGGTTTAAAAATCTGAATTGCAGTTGCAGAGACGGAAGCAAGCTTAACCAGTAATGTTTCTCTGTCGAGTTGCATCGAGGCTTAAGCCTGTAGCAACCAGTAGAAGATTCTTTGCCAGTAACGGTAGCAATGATATTTCCAAAGTTATTGCTGAACTCAATCAGGTGACATTTTGTGTTTGAGGTTATATAAATTGTAGCATTACATTTCTTCTTGATGATTAGGAATCGATTATATTCCGTATGACATTTTTCTAATGAACCTCTTTTTTGAGGTAATTTTCATTGAACCACTTACCTATATATACATTTATAGACTGCATCGCTAAATTTATAAGAAATAAATTAATTAAGTAATGATCCGAGTCTAGTAAGGGTTGAATGTTGAATGCTGCTGCTTAATAGCTAAAATAGTTTTAGTTAACAACACTCAGCGATATGGAAACTTGAATTGTCCGTCAGCGTAATTTATCAAGTCAAGTTTCTTATGATTTATCAATTGTATGATATCTAGCTTAATAAGTAATCCAAATTTGTTTCATGCTAATTTTGGCCCATTAGGAAATGGAATCTGTGTTCGGCGAACCACCAGCATCCGACCCCAAAAGTTCTTCAAATACTCAAGCCACTTACGCAGAATCCCATCTTTTAGTAAATGACCAACCAAAAGATGACCCGTCTACCCAGTTAACCCACATCGGAAGCAAAGGCGAAGCCCAAATGGTCGATGTCTCCTCCAAAGACATTACCAACCGTGTAGCTGTCGCTAGTTGCAAGGTCATTTTGGGCCCAAAGGTATTTGATTTGGTTTTGGCCAACCAAATGGAAAAGGGAGATGTTCTTGGCGTTGCCAAAATTGCTGGAGTCTGTGGGGCCAAGCAGACGAGCAGTTTAATCCCTCTTTGTCATAACATCAATCTTTCACATGTTAATGTGGATTTGAAATTGAGTTCCAGTGATTTTAGTGTCGACATAAAAGGCGAAGCTGTCTCGAGCGGGAAAACTGGAGTGGAGATGGAAGCTCTGATGGCTGTGACTTTGGCCGGTCTCACTGTGTATGATATGTGCAAAGCTGCTTCAAAGGATATTGTGGTTACAAACATACAGCTCGAGTATAAAAATGGAGGTAAAAGTGGTGAATGGTCCAGGAAGCTATGATTTTTTTTTTCTCTTTTTATTTTTTTTTTATTTTTTCCGTTTTGAAATGAATGAGCTTAATTTTTGACTCGGTTGTTATTATGGATGGGACCACTACTTCTCTACATAAAGCTCTGCATAGGTGGTACCAACTAGCTTTTTCCTTCTTCTCTCTTTAGTTTGTGTGTATCGTGTATTTAACAAATTTTGTTACTTCTCCAAGAATCTGATCATCTTTGTAGTGCATTGGCTCCTGTTATGGTGGCTGAGCGCTTTATATTTTCCTTGCTCAGGTTATGAGGTTATGAAAGTGAATGTGATAATACAATACACAACTCAAAACATCCTCTTGAGATATGGATATGTAGTATGTAATACGTTTATAAAGTTATAGTCATCGAGGAAGCTTAAAATACAAGGTGGGCAAAGAATTTATTGTCTTTGTTTTTATGATTATTGCTTAAGTATCATTGTTTTTTCAACAATTTGACATTTTTACCTATTCTCTTTACCTTTTTTTCCCGCAAGACTCCATGCTTAGCCAATATAACGACACTTGTGGTGCTAAAAATTCCTTTGGATTAACGATTGTGAAGAGTAAAACCATATTGCATTCATTAAACATTGTTGAAAATAAGCCCTAGAGTTTGTTCTTTTCTTGTTCCTTGGAAACACCTCAACATTAAAGAGTGCGTGAAACTCTGAAAGCACGTTTGCCTTTTTTAGTTGCATAAATAACTCATGCTGCATGAAATTTTGGCATATTATGTAGTTGGCATGGTTTGAAATGTTTAAGCAATTGCTCTTGTAATTGGAAGACATTCTTTTTCTGCTTTAGAAATTCTCTGAGTGGGACTATGAGAATGAAAGTTCTTAAGGTTTGCCTTATTTTATATACTTCATCTAGAATTCGTCTGTCTTTCGGGTACTAATGGGTAAAGATGAGCCCCCTTCATGAGCCATATCTAAAACTGAAGGCTATGTTTTATGCGTGTACGTATAATGTAGAAGCTGTTCAAAGGCCTGGAACCTTGGAAGCCAATTTAGGGCTTTTTCTTTGTGCCTAGCTTAGCTTGGCACTGTAGAGTATTGTCATGGTGTCATGGGAATTACTGAAGAATTGGTCGAAATTGGTGAGACTGGGTTACGGTTTTCCCGAGAGAAAATGGAAAGATGGAAGACGAAGAAAAATGCCCAATTTGGAAGTTGATCATGTTGAAGCCACAAAGGGCCAGACCGTACAGGTGGAAGCGAACTATGAAGGCATTTACTTATTAAAATAACTATATTTGGTGTGTAATCAACCTTTGGACGGCTTATACGGCTGGATTTGCTTCTAAGTTCTAACATGTTTGTAGTCCTATAAAATGAGCCGAGAGGGGTTTTCGGCATTAACACTTCGACGATCAAGTCAGTATATAAAGCCTGTTTTGGGATGAATATGTAGGGTTGTGTTACCTTGTTGCCTAGACTGCCTATTTGAGCTGCCCAGACTGCCCAAACTGTCCTTTCGTATTGCCCGAGCTGCCAAACTGGCCAGTACTAATAGGCCACGTGGCCCTATCCATGTGTGATTCTTGTCTTATTTATGTTCCTTCTTATCCTTTAGTCCGTCTTATTAGATGGTCTATGCGACTGACGCAAATTACCTCGAGGTGGAGTGTTGCTTATGCTAAGCTCGTATGCTCTGCTCATCTAGTCGATCCATTCACCAGTCATGCCTTCAAGTCGAGTTTCAACCAAACCATCCGAGTGTTCTAGCTCGACCTGTCTTTTCTTCTTGGACCATTGACGTCCTCATCTACCTGAGGATTTCTTAATCCATAGCTCCGTTAGATCAACTAGTTTACTCGACCTGATTGGTCGGTTTGTCGGGTCTATTGGACCCAGCGTGGTATCTCATATCACTATTTAATTTATATATATAGTTGCTTTAGTAAAACATATTTAATAAAACTTTTGTACTTTTACCGGCGAGAAAACGTTAAAAGTTAGTTTAATCATTTTTTTCTAAATTAAAAAAAATCGTTCACTAATCACTGTATTGTTAATTAATGAAAATTCTGTTAATGATTGTGTTGACTTAATCGTCACAATCTTAGTTACTTTACTATTTTCTATTTATTTATATTTTTTATTAAAGCATTAGTAATCAGTGAATGTTTGATTATGGAAAAGCGTGATTTTGTAAAATCCTGTTAATGACTGTGTTGACTTTACCGCCTACAAATGTTACAATCTAATTTATTTTACTATTATTTTTAAATTAAATCAATGAATGTTTGATACGGAAAAATGCGATTTCACCAACAAATTATTTTTAATAACTTATTATAAATATTTTATTCGGAAAATCATATTGGTGTTGATAATAACTTGTTATTTTTAATAATTTATTATTAGTTAATAATAAATCATGCAGACAAAAAAAATGAATACATTGTGGAAAATTCGCAAATTACAATAAATAATTATTTCACCAGCTCCTCAAACTGTAATTTTGCCTAGCAAAAGTGAAAAAAATAATTACTGTTTTATTATACAAATGTCATTTGTGAAAATTTTAACAAAAAGATGTATTAACAAATAACATAAGCCATATAAGTTTTGATTACTGTTACACAATGTATCCCACACATATTGCATTATTTAATATTTTATTTTATAATTATTTTTTAATATTAATTAATTAATAGAATAATTACAGTTACAAACCTTTGTAATTAAAACATCACCGACTGTATAAACATATATAAACTTTCAACATTTTCTCCCTACACATCAATTCACCTCTCAAACTACAGTTGCATATTATTCTTCCAAATAATTTTTTTTTGCCTATTTTTTGTAATGGTTGCACATAAGTTTGAGAAAGTCAACGTGCTCGATGAGAACAAAGACAAAGGTATTCATCTCCAGCATATAAGTTTTTATCTGAAAGTCGATCCTAAAAATCTAATAAAAATAAATGCTTGGAATTCATCTTCCATGACTTAGAGGTAATTTTAATTTGGTATACTTTCTTTTGGCTTCTCATTTTGATAAAATAAAACTATTTATATCTTTGTCAGTTACATAAATTTTTTGATAGGGAGGACTTTTTTTTTACAGGGAGGACATTTACATAACTTTCTTTTGGCATTTACTTGAAAAATCAAGAAGATGTTACTATATATAATAAACTAATAAGAAAATGCTATATTATATAATAACAATTAGTAGTAACCATAAAAATATTATTATATTGATAAAGTAATAAAAACTTATCATATTTAGCTGAAAGTGCATTTGGGCGGGAAAACACTGGGAGTTTTACCAGCAATTATATACAATATATATATTGAGATTATATATCTCCTCATGTCATGCAACAACTTTGACTTATATCAAAATTAATTCCATTCCTCGCCTTCTAACCTTCTTTTACTAAAAAAATACATTAAAATTAATCAGTATCTATATCTATATAATTACTAGCCAAACATTTAATAAAATCTCAAAATTTTCTCTCCAAAAGACGCAACTTTACATTAATTAAGTATTTATATTTTTTATTTATTTTATTATATAACAATTACCATTAAGAAATCATAAAATTACATTAAATGGTATTATAATTTAATTTTCTTTCAAACTGTTTATTTAAATTATTATTTTCTTTTTGTTTTAACTCACTAAGTAAGTTTCTTTTATTAAGATTAGTTATTTAATTTTTATGATATAACCAAAATTTTTAAAATTCCGTACACAGTTGCTATAATAATAATAATTTCAATATTATTTTATCTAATTAATTGTTCATAATAAAAAAATTTCCAAAAATTATATAACTGAAATCGATATAAAGATTAATATGTAAGTTAATAATTATCGTTCATTTTTACTAATAATAAAATTTATAAAATGTGATATGCTATTATCTAACTTCTGATTTTAAATATAACATACGCATACATATAACATACAAAATTTTATTTGCATCTGTGCATGTGCACAAGATCGAATGCTAGTTTACATTAAGTAACATGATTTTACTAGTAAAAATAGATCTTATGATTAAATATGACTTACTAGACCGAAAA